GGGGGGCCCCGCGGGGCCCCCCTTTCGAGTTTTCCCCCCCCCCCCCCCCCGCCCCAAGACGGCGCAGCAGAGCATGGCCGCGGCAGCCACTACCGTTCCCAGCGACCGGAATCAGACCTGGGGCTCGCCCTGGCTGGACTTCAATGCCTCCAGGTCCCCCCTCTCTCAGTCCTCGGAGACGGACCAACTCATTTTTCTCTCCGAAATCGGCGTCGATAATTTCATCACCTTGGTCGCTTTCGGCCTCATTTTCACCCTGGGTGTGATGGGCAATTCTCTGGTCATCACGGTGCTGGCCAGGAGCAAGCCGGGCAAACCCCGCAGCACCACCAACATTTTTGTGCTCAACTTGAGCATCGCTGACTTGGCTTACTTACTCTTCTGCATTCCTTTCCAGTCTACCGTGTACATGTTGCCCAACTGGTCCCTGGGTACCTTCATCTGCAAGTTCATCCACTACTTCTTCACTGTCTCCATGTTGGTCAGCATATTTACCCTCTCGGCTATGTCTGTGGACCGCTATGTGGCCATTGTGCATTCCCGGCGCTCCTCATCCGTGCGGGTGTCCCGTAACGCACTGTTGGGGGTTGGGCTCATCTGGCTTCTCTCTATCGCCATGGCTTCCCCTGTGGCTCACAACCAGCACATTGTCCATGAAAAAATCCTCAACCAGACCTTTTGTTGGGAAGTCTGGCCCAATCTCCAGCACAAGAAAGTGTATGTCTTGTGTACCTTCATCTTTGGCTATTTGCTACCGCTGCTGCTCATCTCCTTTTGCTATGCTAAGGTAAGTGAGGCTGATAAGGATGGAGGTGCTACCCAACAAATGCATGGGACAGCCTTTCCCAGGATCATGGAAACTTGGTGCAGCAAAAATTCACAGTATTTTATCCAGTGTCTATACACAGTGATAATATGGAAACACGCAACTCATATCTTATCTTTAACAGTGCTTCTTGCTATTTCTTTCATGTGTTGTACGTATAACGCTAAAGCAAATAGCAAACACTTGAGTGAATAGTTGAGAGAGGATTATTCAAGGTGCTGTTCAATGTTTGAACAGTTTAGGGCTGTTCAATTCCAGCACATAATCTTATGCAGGATTATTATTATATAGTGAACAACATGACTAGGGTTAAAGTTACATTTGGGACATTCTGTTGAGCACATAACACTTCAGCTGTATAGATGCTTAAGGAAGTTATAGATGATGCATTTTGGAGGCTATTTTGGAGCAGGAGATTTCAAGTTTTGTAGAACTGACCCCTCAAATGATAAATGAAATTATGTCAGGTTCTCTCTTAAAAGTTTAAAACTAATGGATTTGTTAGAATTAGGTTTGAAAAATAAATCAATATACTTAATAATTAAATGTTAATCTGTTTATCAGGGAGGTTAATCAGCTTCATCATAGCTGCTCATCAAAGGAAGAAGCAGAGCCCAGAGCAAGTTTTGCATTGATCTCCTCTGCCTGTATTTGGTTAATCAGGGTTATTTTTCTGTTTGATTGCCTCCTTTAAGTTCCTCTGTTTTTTAGAATCACCTATTAAGAGCTGACAAAAATTAAGGGTTCTTGAAATACATCCCAGAATTGCCATCAGTGGCTAAATGAATGAAATATTGGCTGAGGTTTGAATGAACTATTGCAATGAAGGGAAATTTTCTGTAATGTTTGGTAAAGAATGAATTGTGACACCAAGAAAGCCAGAAGGTCTGTCTGATCCCCATGCTACATCATGAAAATCTGTTATTGATAGGAGACAATCCGCTGATGAACTCATTTGTATATCTGGCTGGAAGAAAGAGAATCAACAGAAATCCCGAGAACTAAAGGGACTGAATCATTCTGATTCACTTTCTCTGAATTTTGAATCTGGTTCCTTTGAATATGGAACAATCCACACAGTGCTTTATCTAAAGTTAGTACTTGTTGCTGGCATGTAAATAAATTATCACCTACTTGAAACCATCACAGCTTGTAATATTGATCATTTATCTTTGAAGTGCTCTGCTTCGGCAGCACATAGACTAACACTGAAAGGATGCAGAGAAGACAACTTATCTCTGAACACAGTTTCTTTCAACCGCGTAATGAAAAAATCTATTAATTTAAGAATAATTGTAAAAAGTTTCACTTGGAATCTCTGCAAGCCCAAGTTTCCCAATGAAACAAAAAAGTTAAATACCATGCACCTGTTCTGATTTACCATCTACATTAAACATAATAGATAGTTGGAAAGTTAAGGAGAAATATTCCATTTTAAATGCCAGAAATAGCAGAACTATCGTTTTTGTGGAGGAGAGAGAAGGAAATATGCCCGTGCACATTTTTTAATGGAGAATTACGGTAAGCAATGGGATTCTTCTGCTGACTTATCTATGGTCTTATATAGCAGGAGATCTATGCTGTTAGCATTTAGCATAGAAGACTGCAAAGCTTTCCTTGTATAGCTGCTTGCCTTGTGTGTGGATAGTAGAAAGTATGGCTAATGGTATCATGCTGGGATGTTGCCTAGATCCTCTTCAAGATACATGCATGGGGAATGCTTGAATGGAACAATATCCTGTTCTGTATCCTGCCTCTGAAGACATATCTGTATTTAAATAATGATCAGTGCGGTGAAACTGTTGGTATCCAGTATGTAACATCTGAGTGGAAATTCCATGCTTTTTGTATTGGGTTCTTGGTATTCTCTAAGCTTGGCTGGAAAATAATCAAGCTTTGAGAAAAGCAAGAACTCAATGGTTCCAACCCAGAGCTACATATATTCTTTAGTATTGGATACCTTTACATGCTAGAATTAAAAGAGGATTATCTGATTAGCAAAGCACAAAACTATACTTGCTGACTCCGTTTGTAACCAGTACAGCTTCTTAGCAGTCTTTGGCCATCATTTCCAATTTACTATATGTTTCAATGCTAGGGATATGATTCATAATAGGAGAAAGTGATTTGAATGTTAGATATTCCCCTCTAAGATCTTGTATTAAGATCAAGCCCTAACTTTCTTCTCAGCAAATGAGAAGTCTTGTGAAAAATCAACCCAACAGCTATCTATTTTTAGATATTTTTAATACTACTTGCAATATTATGGAATGGAATGCTCCAGCAATACTGCTTGTTTTGCCTATTCCCTTTTTACTTGCGGGCACAAGATATCCTCGAATTCTATTGTTCCAATTATGCAATTGTACAATTATGCACAGATTGTTTGGCTACAAAAGTTTTTCTTCAGTGTCCATCACTTGATGTAGCTGTTTGAGAAGTAATTGAAGGGATGGAAGGTGGGTGGGAAATAACATCCGTGCTGACTTCTGTTTTCTCCATCTTAACATCTGGAATTGTTACTAATTTTTTTTTAAAGTTCATTAAAATAACATTGTTTTTAAATATCTAGGAAAAGAACCAGACATAAATACATTTAAATAATTTTTTTATTTTTGCTATTTGTTCTATTCCATTCAACCCATGATATAAGAAATTACTTCATATATTTAGATCTTATCTTTTCAGAGTTAAATATGGGATTTTTTAACTTTTACCATTAGGAAAAGCATAAAGTGGATACTGGTGGGAAATGGAACTGAAGTAGCAGAATTTCTCCACTTTCCCTTAATTCCATCATTACTTCTAAAGATGATGTCCTGTGATTTTGGTTGGTTGCCACATCTAAGTATTTTCTTCCAATCCATCACAGGCAGCATCCTTAGAAGAGACAACTGAATGTCACCCTCTTCTGTTGGAACTGATGTCTTCATTAGTGCACTTGAGCTGCCAGTAAGGTATTAAAAGGTGAACAGGCAGGATATGGGACATAACTGTATTTAAATTTTATTACTTTGCATAGTAAATTTATCATGGAAGCTAATAAGAATAGAAATGTAACATTAAACAATTAACACACCATAAAACGAATAAGCTTAGGTAATGAGGGGGAAAAAAGAAAGAAAGAAGGAGATGACCTGGAAATTGTAACAAACAGAATTTCAGACAGCAATCACATTGTTTGAAAGTCATTCATTTCTCACTTTGTAAAAAAAAAAAATCAAATCTTAAAAATCAATACATATCAACACCTATACTGCCAATCAGGTACAAAGCTATATTTTCAGATGTCTATAATAATTGTTTTATCCAATCCTCATCCTGAAAGTTTGCAATTGTAGATTATGTTGATAAATTGTATATACTATGTTTATAGCGAAGAAGGTATGCAATTTTAATGCAAAGCAGTTGATCTAGAATCAGAAACCAATAATCCAACTAATCTCAGCCCTCAATGCAACAAGAGTAGGAAATGAACAAATCACATAGATCACTGTTCCAATTTCAGAATAACATTTCTAACAGCAGGGTGATTACCACCACCCTATTAAATAAGCTCTGAAGGATCCAGTATATATGAAAGAAACTTTTAATTGCATTAAGCTCATTTTGAAGTCAGAGGAAACTGATTTCATGTTGTGTATTGATTTTCTACTTGTTTGGATAAACTTGTTATAAAATGAATAGCTAGTATTAATTTTTTCAGTTCCCAGAAAGAATGGTTTAAGAAGTAGAAATAATTCCTCCAGAATATTTCTCTACCATGGAGGTAGAGTAACATTTGCGTCTAAATCAAGTAAAATAAAGATGTACGTTAGCTAAATGTGTAGCCCAAAGCTAAAACAAACTAATTTGTCCATTCTACAGAAGTTTTAAATCCAATTTCTGCAGAATTAAGTTGACCTAAAGAAATTATATTATGAGAGGAATGGGTAATTTACTGCCTTCCCAAAACCTGACTTAACCACTACTTTTAAACTGGGATTATAATAAATGCTTACCTTGGGTAAATAGATAAAGTATTGGGCAAAGTATTTTCATATATACCTTATAGAGGCATTGAAATGAATTCCACAGTACTGTAATTAGTTATAATCATAGTAAATGTGATTTACTGGCCTGAAATAGAGATAAACAATATTTAAATAAAATGGAATGGAATCAAATGGAATAGAATAGAATAGAATAGAATATGGTCAGGTGTGATTGGACACATGAGGAATTTGTCTCTGATGCATAAGTTCGCAGTGTACATACAAGCAACAAAGTGATAAATCATACGTTACAATCATAATTCATAAGATACAACCAACAAAACGATAGTCATACTAGTAGGAGTAGGTAATAGGAAAGATTAGAAGGATAATAGTAATACAGCTGTTTTTGAATATACCATTCAAAAAATAAAATAAAAAATTAAGGATGTAACAAAAATACTGGAACACTCCAGCATCCAATACCCAGATAAGCAAGGATTAATACCAGACAAATTATCAGAAACCAATACTCTAATCTCTAATTACCACTGCCAACACTGGCAGAACAGGCTATTGTCTGTAAACTGAGAGCAAGTCCCCGCTAGCATTGATGATGCTACCTAGCTGGGTAATGAAACGTATGCAAGCAAATAGCAGTATTCCAATATTTGAGACACTGCCATAAAGAGGAATGGGTCAATTTATTTTCTAAAGCGCAATAGGACAGGATAAGAAACAATAGAGGAATTAAGGAAAAACTTCCTAACAGTGAGGACAATTAACCAGTGGAACAGCTTGTTGTGGGTGATTCATCACTGGAGGTTTTTAAGAAGAGACTGCATAGTCACTTGCCTGAAATTGTATAGGATCTCCTGCTTCAGCAGAGGGCTGAACTAGAAGACCTCCAAGGTCCCCTCAAAAGTTCAACATTGAGGTATATATACTCTTCTATCGGAAGTGGTATGACTGGAAAGAATTATGGTA